TTTTTCTTGATTTATGTAGACACAAGTTCTCGCCATGTTGCCCAGGCTGATCTTGAACCCCTGGGCTAAGGCAATCCTCTTGTTTCTACCTCCCAAAGTGCTGGGATTGCAGGTGTGAGCTGGCTCTGAATTTGCATTCTGTAATGGCATCATACGGTTCAAATTTATAAACCATACACCATAATTTGTGTAACTGTCTTCTCATGTTTAAGCCTTCCTATTCTCTTCATTTCTCCCTATGTATCATTGGTTACAAAGCAAAGGATATCTTTGTACACAGAGATTTCCCTCCTTTTTGACATATTTTCTTAGAATGAATTCCTAGGAATGAAATGCCTAGTCTTCCTTTCACCCCCCAAACTCTAACCACCCTTTCTTCCTCTCTTGACTCCAACAACCTCTTGCTTCTTCAATCGTTTTGCTTATCCTTTTGTTTTCTCGAATAGAACTGCCTTTTGGCTCTTCCTAGTGGTTGACCTCACCCTTTCTTAGGTGGTTCAGCATTGTGCAAAGCACTGTGAGGACTGCTTCTTGCTCTGATTTCTTACTCTTCCTCTCATCACAGTGTCTGCTTCCTTCCTTCCTTCCACTCCACTCCTTTGCTGAGGTTAAAGTCTGCTAGTGATCTCTCTGTTAGTGCAAAGGCTTTTTTCTCTATTTTTATCTTCCCATCAGAGCTCCTGCTCTGAAATGACCTCCCTAATGTTCTTAGACAGGCCTTTCTCTTTCCTTCTGACCCTACTCAAAATTTATCTTCTATAGAAGTTTCTCCACGGGTTGAGATATGCCCACCTCTTCTGAGTCCACATTCAACCCAGGGATTTCTCACTCCCTTAACTCTACTTTGTCCCATTCAAAATTGTTTTACTCTCCTTTGAATGAAGATAAGTTAAGGAAGGAAAAATAGAAACTTGCAGCCATACAACATTGAGCATTCTCTCCTTACAATTCCAAATAATCAAACCTTGAGATAAATTAAAGGATCACAGGCCATACTAAGCTAGTAACAGAAAATCTACAGAGTGAGGTCCAGGATCGGCAGCATCAGCATCTAACAACCTGGGAGTTTGTTAGAAATGCTGAACTGTAGGTTCCACCTTAGATCTACTGAATCAGAATCTAGGCTTTTAATATAATTCTCAGTTTTGCATGTGAAATAAAGTACTAGAAACATTTATTTTGCATGTGAAATAAAGTATAAGAAGTCTTTAAGGAACTTGGATAGTATGTCAAGTGTGATGGGAGCCATTGCAAGGTTCTGAGTAGAGGAGAGACATGATAAGATCAACACTGTATTTTATTTATTTTTTCTGAGACACAGGGTCTCACTATGTTGCCCGGGTTGTATGTAGAGCAGTGGTGCAATCATAGCTCACTGCAGCCTTGAACTCCTGGGCTCAAGCCATCCTCCTGCCTCAGTCTCCCAAGTAGCTGGGACTACAAGTGTGTACCACCATACCTGGCTCATTTTCCTTTCTTTCTTTCTCTCTCTTTCTTTCTCTTTCTTTCTTCCTTCCTTCCTTCCTTCCTTCTTTCTTTCTTTCTTTCTTTCTTTCTTTCTTTCTTTCTTTCTTTCTTTCTTTCTCTTCCCTCCCTCCCTCTCTCCCTCCCTCCCTCCCTTCCTTCCTTCCTCCCTTCCTTCCTTTTTTTTAGAGACAAGATCTCTCTATGTCGCCCAGGTTGGTCTGCAACTCTCAACCTCAAGTGATCCTTCTGATTCAGCCTCCCAAAGTGCTAGGATTATGGGCATGCACCATGATGCCCAACTAAGACCTATATTTTAAAAGGGTCTCTCTGCCTGCTGTGTAGAGAATGAACTCTAAGGGAGCAAGAATGAAAGCAGGGAGGACTTAATAGAGGCCACTATAAGGGTGTGTGGGGTTGGTTTAGATTAGAGTGGTCATGGTGGTGGTGATGATAAAGGGTCCAACAATCTTGATTTCCCTACCAAATACTATTTAAAAAGTTATCACCAGGTGATAGACACGATTTTTTAAAAATCTTGAATAGAAAACTGGCTTAGATATAGAAAACAACATGTAGAGATAATAGGGTTTCTTTGGGTTGAGCACTGTTAACCCTGAAAATAGTGTCAGTTAACATTTCATAAACAATTAAGAAAAGGGAATACTTTGAGACTTCTGGGTACACAAATTAACTTTGCTTTCCACATAGTAAAATGTCAAGTCAATAAGGAACATCTGGAACATTTCTGAAGCCATGTGAGTACAGGAAAGTGGCAGGTGTCTTGCCATATGGACAAGTATAAGGAAGCCACATAGGGGAAGACGATTTAGATGGTATCTTTTTTTTTTTTGAGTTGGAGTCTCACTCTGT